TCCCTTCCCCCCCCCCCCCCCCCTTCCCTTCCACCTACCCCCCCCGCGCCAGTTTACTCAGCAGCAGCGGGCAGCTCCTCAGGCACCAACTGCCCCAGCGCCTGCCCCCGTTCCCCAGCAACCAGCGCCACCGCCGCCGCCGGCCTACACGAAGCCTAAGGTGTACAACGACGTTGACCCAAGAACAGGATTGCAGAAGGTGGGCCCGCGGTAGACACGATAGAGTGAAGTGGCTCAAGGCCCTCCTCCCCCGCCCCCTTGAGACTACAAGTCGAACAGCTCTGCTTGTTGAGGAGATTTGTGTTCTGTGAAAGAATAAGAAAGGAACGAGAGAGCGACCGAGAATGGTCGGCGTGAAAGGTGGAAAGGTGTAGCGTGGGCGGAGAGTGAAGGAAACGATGAAGGAGGAAGGGGCACGAGTCATGGAAGGTACTCTCGTCTGTCTCGATAGTTTCCGATGGACTATGACACTGATGCTGGAGCTCCGTAGAGGTGACCTATTTAGTCTTGCGCAGAAGGAAGGAAGGAAGGAAGGGATGAGAGATGAGAAGAATGTTCCCGTGTGCATGCCACTGTTGGCAGTTGTTCAGGCCAGAGAGAAGAGCAGGTTGCACCGACATGGAGGCCTGCCCTGGCCTGCCCTGTCTAACCGGGCAGTTCCTCTCCGCCTGGCCATGGTATTGCTCGACGTACTTTAGTTATCGTGTAGTACTTGACTTCCCAAAAACGACGAGCTGAAAACGGTCACGCAACTTGTGTCTTGATTGTAGTCTTTCATCTGTGACTTGATTGTTTCACTCACTCAGCCCCCGGCCCGATGTTACTGACGCCATTTGTTTCTCCCCCTCCCCCCCCGACGCATGCCGACACTGCTGTCCATGTGGACGTTCTCTTTTAATTGTCCTTCCCAGCTTCCTACCGACAAGCTGGACTCTGCGAAGAAGCAAGTCGAGCACATCAACTCCTCGGACGTCGTGGCAGAGGAGGAAACCCGGCTTCGATCTACCCCCTCCCCCCTGGTGCCACCGGAGAAACCACCGGCCAGCACATGGTTTCTCACCAACGTGGTTGACCACAGGTAAAACGAAGTCACTTTTTTTTGTCTCTCTCTCTTTCGCGTGAAAACGTGATATTATTTCGCCGGCTTGCAGGAAAACATGAAAAAATGTACAACAGCTGCATTCCAAGTGCTGTGAAAGTACTCTGCTCACGTGCACCCACCGAGCACGCGCTCCGCCACCCTCGTCTAAAGCACGGACATGGGGGGCAACAACAACACTGTTCGTGGCTCTGCTGTGGTGTGTCTGCCTGTCCCTCCCCCCTCCTCCGCTCGTGCGCGGTGCTTCCTTCTTGTTTTGTTTTTGGTTCTCGTGTTGTGCGCGGCGATCACAAACCGTCTCACGCGTGCGGTGTCGCGTATGTCCCTTCAGACACGCCTGGTGCTGCCTCAGGGATGCGGGCGAGAGGGCCGGGATGCGACGGGTTCTCAAAGAACGCCCCTGGGGGAACCCGCGAGAGCCATTGGAGGGGGGAAAGGAGGCGGCGGGGAGCGACGTGCTCAAGGTGGATGAAGGGGGGGGGGGAGGGCGGCAAGCGATGTTGATTGGTGGACAAGGGTGTGTGTTGCTGTTTTTCGATGTCCGTTTGTGCTGTAGCAAAGGGAGTTGAGCACGAGGACGTGCTGTATCTTTTTTATGTTTTGAGGTAGTGGCGGCTGTCAACACGAGTACTGTTTGAAGGGTGGGATTGAGAGAGGAACGGGTCAAACGGTTTAGTTCAGATGTCTACCCCACTGCCAACAGAGCGACCATCCGTACTTCGCCCGTCAAAACATCTGTGCGCGGCGGGTGTATGTTCCGTGGCGATGGAAGTATTTGTTTTTTCACGCGCAAGCGGGCTTTCTTTTCGCCTCACCCCCCCCCCACACACACACACACCTGACGCGTTTTTGTGGCGTTTTGATGCCACCGTTGCGTGTGCACGCTGTGTGCAGCTCATGTCTCTCGCGGCGCAGTACTACCTGAAGAATATGCTGGACGAGCTCGCGGTCGTCGCCTACCAGCGGAAGGGGGGGCTGTCCGCAGAACTTCTTTCAGGTGTGTTATATACAGTCATGCGCAGCCGAATTGTATGATAATGCGTCGCTCCAGTAGCGTTCCCTCGTTCCGTGGGGAGCGCGGCTGGGCCACGAACGGCATATTTGCCACTGTCTGTTGCTTCTGTCTGATGGTTTGGTTCGGCTAGTGGAGCCACTTGCTGTGTGTTCTGCGACTGGTTCAACGCATTTCGTTGTCGAAACACAAGCACCACCTCCCCCCCCCCCCCCCCCCCC